CTCTTTGGGGTTGTTGTGTCTCTTTGAGGTTGTTTTGTGTCTCTTTGAGGTTGTTTTGTGTCTCTTTGAGGTTGTTTTGTGTCTCTGTGGTTGTTTTGTGTCTCTTTGAGGATGTTTTGTGTCTCTTTGAGGTTGTTTTGTGTCTCTTTGGGGTTGTTTTGTGTCTCTGTGGTTGTTTTGTGTCTCTTTGAGGATGTTTTGTGTCTCTTTGAGGTTGTTTTGTGTCTCTTTGGGGTTGTTTTGTGTCTCTTTGAGGATGTTTTGTGTCTGTTTGAGGTTGTTTGTGTCTCTGTGGTTGTTTTGTGTCTCTTTGAGGTTGTTTTGTCTCTTTGTGTTTGTTTTGTGTATGTTTGTTTTTGTTTACAGATGTTTTGTATTGAACTGTGTGACGTTCACACCAGAACTGTTCCGTCCCTCTTGTCAGAGGTCCAGGAGGTCGGGAGCCCCTGGGTCTGTGCCTGATAGGCTCAGTAATCCATCCATGAATAGTTGGATCAAAACGAGCAGCAACATGTTTAGTATCAGTGGAAACAGTACGAGTGTGTGTGGTGGTGTTTGTGGCAGCAGGTTGATGATGTCACTCATCTACAGATGAAAACGGAGTGGTCCAGATGTGAGCAGACATCTTGACTCTCAGTGTGTATGAGTCAAACCTCAGCGGAGTGGATGTTGTCTCTGAAGACAACAGAAACATGCTCGTCTGTCCTCACAGTTACGTCTGGTGTCTGATGAACAGAGGCGGGAGCGAGAAGAGCAAACGGTTTCACATTTACTCAGTAACGTGAGATGAAACCTCAGTGAGCAGATTAACTCTGCAGCTTTCTAATCCTCAGCAGCACTCAGAATATGAGCTAATCCCAGCAACAGATGGAAAAAAACAAAGTGTGGGAATAACTGAGCGACTGTGACCTGCAACCTCAGAGAGACGGAGACGAGGTTCAGTTTATGTTCCCAAACGTTTCCATCATCAGTGTTTTACAGTCAGAGACACAAGAGCAGCTCAGTCACAGTGAATCACCTCCTGTTCACAGCAACTCTGACTGAGGGCTCATGGGAAAAAACTCCGTCCACACAGCAGCGATCTGTGTTCTTGTTCTCACAGTGACGCTGTAGTTTCAGTCCAACGATTTCACAGGTGATGGTGACATTACATCACTCTCAAATCCTCATTACATCATTCATTCATCAGTTACACCCCTGCCCCTGGGGGGGGCGGGGCTCACCTGGACAGGTCTCCGGTTCACCGTCAGTGTCTGGATGAGGACACCCGGGATGATACGGATCTTATTTTATCGTACTATTATTATAAAGGACTCGTATGAAAGTTCTCTATAAATATTCTTATTATTATTATTCTTAAATATGCAGCACATTTCAAAAACATTTTACAGAATCATTCAGTCACAAAAACAAATATAATGAACATGTTTAATGTAACTGATGATGGAGACAGTCAGCTGAACTCAGCAGGAAAAAACCTGAGATTTAAATTCAAATAAAAAGAAAGGAAATTCATAAAGTTGAAATTTCACAGGAAAATATTGTAATACTTTGAAATTAAAGTTGTAATATCTCCCCGTCCTTCCTGTCTCACTGTCCCTATCAGAATAAAGGTGGAAAATACCCCCCCCCCCTAAAAAAAAGAGATGTAATCTTATGGGATGAAGTTGTAATATTTCAGTAACAATATCATTATATTATCAGAAACAGTTTTAATATTATTAGTGAAATCTCTGTGAGTAGAAGTCACGACTTTATCTTCAAATCATTAAAACTTGATCCTGAGCAGCAACAGTGGAAAAAGTGAACTGTGCTTTTAAGACCTCTGTGTTGCCTAGTTACGAGAGGATCTTTTTTCCTTTAGTTGAGCGGCTCCTGGATGAGAGAGGAAACTTCCTCTCACACCTGAACTCCAGAGGAAGGATTACAGTCCCTATGCTTCCTGTTTTATTCATGTATGATGAGACAGAGCCATCCACCCAGGGACGATGGGGACGGTGAGGACAGTGAGGACAGTGGGGACAGTGAGGACAGAGGGGACAGTGAGGACAGTGGGGACAGTGAGGACAGAGGGGACATGGGGGACAGGAGGACAGTGGGGACAGTGAGGACAGTGAAGATAGTGAGGACAGTGGGGACAGTGAGGACAGTGAAGATAGTGAGGACAGTGGGGACAGTGAGGACAGTGGGGACAGTGAGGACATGGGGGACAGTGAGGACAGGGGGGACAGTGAGGACAGGAGGACAGTGGGGACATGGGGGACAGGAGGACAGTGGGGACAGGAGGACAGTGGGGACAGTGAGGACATGGGGGACAGTGAGGACATGGGGGACAGGAGGACAGTGGGGACATGGGGGACAGGGGGACAGTGGGGACATGGGGGACAGTGAGGACAGAGGGGACATGGGGGACTGGAGGACAGTGGGGACAGGAGGACAGTGAGGACAGGGGGACATGGGGGACAGTGAGGACAGTGAGGACAGTGAAGATAGTGATGACAGTGAAGATAGTGAGGACAGTGGGGACAGTGAGGACAGTGAAGATAGTGAGGACAGTGGGGACAGTGAGGACAGGGGGACAGTGGGGACAGGAGGACAGTGAGGACATGGGGGACAGTGGGGACAGGGGGGACAGTGAGGACATGGGGGACAGGAGGACAGTGGGGACAGTGAGGACAGGGGGAACAGGTGGGGACAGGGGGACGTCAGGGACGAGGTGGTGTCAGCGTCTCTGATGATTCTCTGAAGGTTGGAGTCGTTTTTAAAGGTTTTTGATTTATTGTCTTTTTAACACAGAATCATTGAGTGTTTGACAGGAAGAAGGAGCGTCTGTTTCACTGTCAGTTACCCATGATGCACTGTGACTGGTGTGTGTCTGACGTGGATCTCATCTGTGCTGCAGGTCTTGTATAAAGTCTACATCTCCTTTGTGGAGGTGGGGCCAGCCAACGTTCAGACGGCTGATTACTTCAAAGGAGTCGGTGAGTCCACAGAGAAGAGCACACTGACCTCTGACCTCTGACCTCTGACCTCACCCTCCCTCCTCTTCCTCCTTAGCCTCCTTCCTCATCGTCAGTATCGGGGGGACTCTGGTGGGTCTGGTCTTCGCAGTCATCCTCGGCTTCATCACTCGCTTCACCAAGAAGGTTCGAATCATCGAGCCGCTCTTCGTCTTCCTGCTGGTCTACCTGGCGTACCTGACCGCTGAGCTCTTCTCCCTGTCTGCCATCCTGTCGTAAGTCCACCAGTACAGCCAGTACAGCCAGTACAGCCAGTACAGCCAGTACAGCCAGTACAACCAGTACAACCAGTACAGCCAGTACAACCAGTACAGCCAGTACAACCAGTACAGCCAGTACAGCCAGTACAACCAGTACAACCAGTACAGCCAGTACAGCCAGTACAGCCAGTACAGCCAGTACAGCCAATATAACCAGGACAACCAGTACAGCCAGT